CACGACTACTCTACAGATGGTGNTTCAGCCTCCGTATCTATTCTAGCGCAACAAACAAAAGGACCCTTGAATAGAGACTGGGTTGAAGTAAAAAGAGTATTCAAATATCTAAAAGAAACAATAGACTTAAAATTAAAAATAGGATATGAAGGCGATAACAAAACGGACGTGGTAAAAGTTTATGCAGATGCAGACTGGGCGTCCGATTTAAAAGATAGAAAATCCAACAGCGGCGATTGCATATTTTTAAACAATATGTTAGTATCATGGCAATGTAAGAAACAGCAATGCGTAAGTCTTTCATCTACCGAAGCTGAATATACAGGTGTCTCACGTAACTGGTTCGTTATTTAGTGGTTCGAAATTTTGGTAGCATGGGTTGTTCTTTCTAAACTTGCGATCTAAAATATTTTCAAGATGGCCACCCTTCCGGTCTACCGGAAGTAGACCACAACTTCGTTACACCTTTCAATTATACGTAAAAAAATATGTTGACTTTGATAAAAGTTGTTGGTACCTAGCGTTTTTTGTTTTCGAGTTATTTTGATTTTAAGTGTTTTTTGACAAATTTCGCCATGGTCTTTAAAAGCCCATATCTCAGCTAACGATCATTCAAAAAAGCTCTGCATTGGCACGACTACTCTACAGATGCTGCCAAATAGATTGTCATTTGTTGTATCAGAGAATCTTATACAGGCTGGTCAAAAATTGAATTATTGTTTCTCAATATTCAATTGCGAGAAAGTCGAAAATTTTAAATGGAACACCCCATATTTCTTTACCCTATCAGAAAGGGAATTTAATTCTCTACAAATTATCTATAAACATTCCTATACCTATTTAGTGTAGTTTCCCTGATATTGGAAAATAAATCAAAATCAGACATAGAATCCCAAAGCCCGTTTGTGTTTTTTTTTGGTTAGACAAGACATTTTGACAGTTCATTGTTTAATTTATTTAAATTATTATTTCTACAATTAACTATGGTTGAATAACCTTTAGCTTGCTCGCTTTTATTTATCAAGCATGACCAACAGAAAAACGAATAAATGAAACAATGAAAAACAACAATTTAATAACAGAAATTAGAATAAAACAAAAACTTAAAATTATAAAAGAATTAAAACTGTTCGATATGCTGACCATTCACCATTAAACATTTTTCAACTTTTCTTTTGACTTCTACGATTGTGGCCCGTAGAAGTTGGTCGCCATCAATAGTACGTAGTGCACGCACCACTCTATCACGCAACACTTGTCGTGTGTTGACCGGTGAATTAAACACTTGATTTTTTAAGTGACCCCACAAATAAAAATCCAATGGTATTAAATCTGGAGATCGTGGAGGCCATTGCCATGAATATAAAACAAATTTAAAATATCGGCGTTGGAATAATTTGCCATGATACACAATGACTTTCACTCGTGATCAAAAGTAAGTAAAAACAACAATAACACAAATATGGACCAAAAACTGTCAAAATTCCATAAAAAAATCAAACGTTTTCCCGCATTCCGTGCATGCTTTGATTAATTTCCCAATATCAGGGAAACTACATTAAATAGGTATAGGAATGTTTATAGATAATTTGTAGAGAATTAAATTCCCTTTCTGATAGGGTAAAAAAATACGGGGCATTCCATTTAAAATTTTTGACTTTCTAGCCATTGAATATGGAGAAACGGTAATTCAATTTTTGACCATCCTGTATAAGATACTCTGATACAAGAAATGACAATCTATTTGACAACATCTGAAGAGTAATCATGCCAATTTAGAGGTTTTTTTTAATGAACGTTAACTGAGATATCGTCTTTTAAAGCTCATGGTGAAATTTGCCAAAAAAAGCTTCAAATCAAAATAATTCGAAAACAAAAAATGGTAGGTACCAACAACTTTTATCAAAGTCAACATATTTTTTTATGTGTAATTGAAAGGTGTAATAAAAACTATAGCATTCCATTTAAAATAACGAAGTTGTGGTTTAATTCCGGTAGACCGGAAGTGGTGGCCATCTTGAAAATATTTTAGATTGAAAGTTTAGAATGAACAACCCATGCTACCAAAATTTCAAACCTCTACGAATAGTGGAACCTGAAAAAGTTCTAACGAACCAGTTACGTGAGACA